AAATGAGCGTATTTTTGATTTTCTTGTTGGTTTGAATTCCGAGTATGATCCTATTCGGGTTCAGATACTTGGCAAAGAAACTTTTCCATCCCTTTCTGCTGTTTTCAATACTGTTCGGGGAGAGGAGAATCGTCGGGGTGTTATGATGAACCCTGATAAATCTGTCATGTTATCATCAAAAGATGGTGCTGCTTCTAAACCCACTGATGGGTCTGCTATGATTTCAACAAAAAAGGATGGTTCTACTTACAGGAGTTCCTTTCCAAAATATTCTGATGGAGCATCTTCTAGACCTAAGAAAGATGATCGCTGGTGTTCTTATTGTAAAAGAACAGGTCATATCAAGGATCTATGCTATCGCCTCCATGGAAAACAAACTGTCTTAGAAAATATGGCAAGGATGCGTGGTCAAGCGCATTTTACTTCTTCTGATATAGCTCCTACACCTAATGAGACCCAACCTGCATTTCGTCCAGATGAGTTGGAACGACTTCGGACCATACTTGATTCTCTGAGTAAGCCATCTGGTACTAGTGATTTGGCTATGACTGGTATGAGCTCCAAAATTTCTTCTTTTCTTACTTCATGTATTGATTTTAAACATTCTTGGGTTGTTGATTCTGGTGCTACTGATCATATGGCTTGTTGTGCTGACCCCTTTGTTTCTTATAACCCTACCATTGGCACTCATACGATAGTCGTAGCTGATGGCTCCCATACATCAGTTGCGGGTTCTGGTAACATAAAATTACAGTCTTCCTTACATCTCAAAGATGTTCTTCATGTCCCTAAACTTTCTACTAATCTTCTTTCTATTCATAAAATCACAAAAGATTTAAATTGCACTGTAACCTTCTTTCCTACTCACTGTGTTTTTCAGGATCTCGCCACAGGGAAGACGATTGGGGGTGCTAAAGAGCAAGGTGGGCTGTACTATCTGGTTCACAATCTCCTGCAACTCATGTTAAGGATCACATCTTACTGTCACATGGCCAGTCAACTGTTGATTCTCTGATTTGGCTTCATCATAAGCGCTTGGGACATCCTCCATTTAGTTTACTCAAGTCTTTATTTCCGTCTTTGTTTTTGTCTAAGTCAGTTGAGTCTTTTCATTGTGATGTTTGTGAGTTTGCTAAGCATCATCGTGTGTCTTTCCGTTCTAGTATTACTAAAAGTGTTGAACCTTTTGATCTTATTCATTCTGATGTTTGGGGTCCTTCTAAGGTCCCTCATTCTTCTGGAAATAAATAGTTTGTTTCTTTTATTGATGATTGCACTCGTGTAACTTGGGTTTACTTAATGCATGAAAAGTCTGAGGTACCACAACTGTTCTTTCAATTTTATAAAATGATTGAGACTCAATTTTGTAAAAAAATCAAAAGACTAAGGACAGATAATGATACTGAATATGTCAATCACTCTTTTTCCCAATTTATACAAAATCAAGGTATGATTCATGAACTTACTTGTGTAGACACCCCTCAACAAAATGGGGTTGCTGAAAGGAAAAATCGTCACCTTCTTGAAGTTGCTCGTGCCTTATTATTTCAAACACATGTACCCAAATGCTATTGGGGAGATGCCATTCTTACTGCAGCGTTCTTGATCAATCGTCTACCCACTCGGGTTCTCGATCATGTAAGTCCTATTCACTCCATGACTTCTTTTTTTCCTTCTGTTCCAACTTTGCAAAGTCTTCCTCCTCGAGTGTTTGGGTGTGTTGTCTTTGTTCATATTCATAAACAGCATCGCAGTAAGTTGAATCCTAGGGCTCTTAAATGTGTCTTCCTTGGATATGCTCCTGATAAGAAGGGCTACAAGTGCTATCACCCTGGAAGTCGGAGATTTTTTGTTTCTATGGATGTTACATTTCAGGAATCTGAGTCCTTTTTCCAAGGTCCTCATCTTCAGGGGGAGAATAATTCACCAGAAGACTCATCACCTTCCTTCTTTGAAACTTCAGTGTCTACTCCTTCACCTGTGTCAGTGTCTCTTCCTCTTGTTCCTGTTCCTAATGTGTCTATGTCTGATCCTCCTGTGACTGATCCTCCTATGACTGATACATCAAGTACACAAGAGATACGGAAGATTGTAACACCTGAATTGGTATATCAAAGAAGGAAACAGCCCACATTGCCTCAACAGCAACCTCAATCGTCTGAACCACTGGTAAGTCCTGAATCTCATATTTCTGATCATGATACTTCTGATGACTTACCCATTACTACTGCTTCTGATGATTTACCCATTGCTTTAAGAAAAGAAAAAAGATCTTGTTCCAAGAAATCTTGTTCTTCCTGTCCCTCTTGTACTCAATACCCTATCTCCCATTTTGTTTCCTCTGCTAATCTTTCTGTGCAGCACAAAAGCTTTGTTTCAGCACTAGATTCTACTTCAATCCCAAAATCAGTACATGAAGCTTTGAAAGATGGGAATTGGGCTCAAGCCATGCAAGAGGAGATGAATGCGTTGGAGAAAAATAAAATATGGGAGGTTATTGATAGACCCAACGGAAAGAAAGCAGTAGGGTGCAGATGGGTTTATGCCCTAAAATATAATTCTGATGGCACTCTTGAGAGATACAAGGCTCGATTAGTCGCCAAAGGTTACACTCAAACCTATGGCATTGATTATGAAGAAACCTTTGCTCCAGTTGCAAAGATGAATACAGTGAGAATCTTGTTGTCCCTTGCTGCCCATTACAATTGGGATATAAATCAATTTGATGTGAAAAATGCTTTCCTCAATGGTGAGTTAGAAGAAGAAGTCTACATGGAAATCCCGCCTGGTTTTGATTCTGTGAAGGGGGAAAATAAAGTTTGTCGATTAAAAAAGGCCTTGTATGGATTGAAGCAGTCACCTCGTGCTTGGTTTGGAAGGTTTACTAAGGTTATGATGACCTTAGGATATAGACAGAGTCAAGGAGATCACACTCTTTTCTTCAAGCACTCCCAAAATGGGAAACTTACTGTGCTCCTTGTATATGTTGATGATATTATTATCACAGGTGATGATTTTGTGGAGAGACAGATTCTGCAGACACGGCTTGCCTCTGAGTTCGAAGTCAAAGACCTTGGGAAACTGAGATATTTCCTAGGGATAGAAGTAGCTCATTCAAGCAAAGGAATTTTTATCAGCCAGAGGAAATATGTTCTTGATCTTCTCAAAGAAGCAGGAAAGCTCGGGTGTAAACCCTCTAATACTCCTATTGAGCAGAATCACAAGATGGGCTATGAAGAAGAGAGTCCTCCAGTTGATAAAGGACAATATCAACGGCTAGTTGGGAAATTGATATATCTGGCCCATACTAGACCAGACCTAGCTTATGTTGTTAGTGTTGTCAATCAGTTTATGCACGATCCAAAGGAAAAACACATGCAGGCAGTAGAGAGAATTCTTCAGTATCTTAAAGGTACTCCTGGTAAAGGATTGTTATTCCGACGTGATGGCAATCTATCTTTAGAAGTCTACACAGATGCTGATTATGCTGGATCCGTGATTGACCGTCGTTCTACCATTGGTTATTGCATGTTTCTTTGCGGTAAATTGGTGACATGGAGAAGTAAGAAACAAGATGTAGTTGCCAGATCAAGTGCAGAAGCTGAATTTCGAGCTATGGCTCAAGGCATTTGTGAGTTACTGTGGCTGAAAATTGTACTTGATGATCTCAAAATAAAATGTGAGGGACCTATGAAGCTGCTATGTGATAATAAGTCCGCTATTTGTATAGCTCATAATCCAGTTCAACATGATCGGACTAAACATATTGAGGTCGACCGCCATTTCATCAAAGAGAAACTTGATAGCGGGTTAATTACCACTCCATACATTCCCACTGGGCGTCAATTAGCTGATCTATTAACAAAGGGGCTTCCTTCAGACAGATTTCAAGAACTTACTAGCAAGCTGGGAATGATAAATATCTATCTCTCAGCTTGAGGGGGAGTGTTGTAAATAATAAAGATTTAGTTATTATTTAGTTTTTATTTAGTCATTTATTGTTGTATTGGGCCAAGCTCATTAGGTTAAAAGTAGGTCAAATATTCTCTATAAATAGAGAACCCTTTGTACAGATTATTTACAATTCTAAAATATATCAGAATACCCTTTTTCAAGTGTAACCATTAGGAGCATGTTATACATTGAGATACTCATAGAACCGATCATCTGCAACATGTCACTCATTAATGTTCAAGTGTAGTATCATGCTGTAATCATTTTATAGATTTCATATATCACTGCGTCAACCAATTTAATTGCTACTTCTATTGAGCAAAAAAAAAAAAAAAGAGAGCGAGAGAGACAGAGAGAAAGAAAGAAACAAAATAGACTTTTAGTACATAACAGATTTTGCAAAAAGTGTACAACAACATTGTCATACTCTTTTTCCCAAGCTCATGCCACAGGGTGTAAAAGATAAATCATCATGAATTGATATGTTAAAAATAAGTAAAGTGATTTTTAGACATCTAAACAGTGAAACTGACTTAGGGATATGTGGAAATACATGTTTCGCAAATCATACAACAACACATAAAGTTTTATATTACCAGTCGCTTTGCATTGTACTAGATTTTGGCAAGAAGGACCCACTTCAGTCTCGTGAAAAAAAGTACAAGCTGGAGTAAAAGCTTTATGTTAAACTAATGGTCCAAAGATAAGGGGTAAGATTTTAGATGCATATGCAGCATTATTCATTTAGCAATGTTCCAAGAAAATGGTAAAAACGCACTACGAAATTAATTCTACAATAACGTATAGATTATATGAGAAGAAAGTTAGTAATGGTACTCTATGGTAAGGTCAAGATTACATGAGATTTTTCATCCTCCAACAAGACAAAAAAACTACTAAAAACCACTCCTCGTTAAAACCCGACTAGCGAGTGTGAGGTGGAGCAATCCTCCAACAAGACAACACAGGACATTAATATCAAACATTTCAAAGAACAGAATTTAGTGTAGGAATAATAAGGCATGCTTTAATAATGGGACACTTACTGATTGGGTGTTTCCATAAATCTTGTCGGTAATGGATTCTGGTGCAGGTTGTCCACTACTGTAGTTAAACTGGAGTCAACATCAAAGGCATTTATCAGAAACACTGACAGATTTGCACACAACATAAAGTATAAGACATTGGCTACATACATTCTGCAGAAAAAACGTTTTGGCAAAGCTTTATTTATTATTTGTATGGGATAGAAAATAACCAAATCCCCTAGGGTAATATTCACAAAAAAAACCAAGTAACCTATGAATCAAAGGATTTTCAAGGTATCAACCAATGTCCTCACGAAAGTTTAAACAGTAGCAACTTCAGAAGCACCATCTATCAGCATTAGTCAATGCACAGTTGATCTATGACCATTTAATTGATGAGAAATAGAAACTATAAAGTTACCTTAATACCCCAATCATACTCAGGGCCACCAGGATTATGGCTTGCACTCATAATAAATCCACCATTTGCCTGTAGAAGTTTAAGGAAATGAGAAGAAAAGAGCAAGTGAGCTGAAAAGGCCATGCTATCCCTATGTGCTAAAATACTGTAGGAGAAAAAGGAGTTTGACAAGCTTGCCTTCCTCTTCCTTATGACAGCAGAAACAGCTGGTGTTGACAATATACCTTCCCTGCATTTGAAAAGAAAAACTACACTCAATTTCTATTAAGAAGACTATAGTGCTAATACCACCCCACAAGTGATTTTGCATTAAACCATAGCCCATGCACTAGTCCAACAAAGATGTCTTATCCTAATGATGCCATTCACTAGTAGCTCTTGATTTAAATAATTCCTCCCATTCGTAACACGAAAATTAATTGGAAAAATCAAGTGATTAAGATGCTTACTTTCCAACCAGAATTTGTCCAACACCATTCCCAGCAGCAATTTTAATTATTATCTGCAATGCACAAAAACAGCAGCACAAATCAGAAACAAAGTAATTTTCTTAACACGAGATTCAAATCTGATAGCTATAGAGACACATTCAAAAAGCACAACCTGCGCAGCTTCCCGGTTGAAGTATCGACCATCACCTCCCAACACCAACAAACCATTCTTATAATCCTCTGGAGGCAATGAATTAAACAGTGCCTACACATGCACTCAATTTTCATTTAAATGTAAAGCAAAATGTATAAATCATGTAATCAAATATTGCACGGAATTCTACAAACCTGGATCCAATTTCCGAGGTAATTCTCTTGCATAAACACTTTCACCTACAAAACAAGTTTGGATATAATTATAAGGAAATACCAATGCGTGCTAGTCGGAGTGGCAAAGAGCTTTGTCCCCTTTAAGCAAGGTCCCAAGTTTGAGTCTTGTGAATGGAAAAAACATGTGTTAGGGAGAGAGAGAGAGAGAGAGAGAGAGAGACAAAGGGGGAAGAAGGACTTCAAAGAAGGGGCTAATTTATCACTTTGGTCCAAATCAAACATGAAACTCTATACAAAGTTATTATAAATTTCATTGCTTTTTATTTACACAGAAAAAAAAGTAAATCAAACCCCACAAATCAACTAACAGAACAATCAGGTACCTTCTTTCGAAGCCCGCTGGTACCAGTTTTTTGTCCTTCTATGGGTTTGGTTGGAATCGAGTTAATCTTCGAAACAAAACAAAATGAAAAAAAAAAAAAAAAAAGGTGTTAAAACTAGAGAGCACTAAAAGAAACAAAACAACAAAGAAAGTGTGAAGAGAGAAAACCTTAATGCCTTCAGGTTCGGCAATGGTTGTGGGAGGAGATGAGGATGACGAAGTGGCCCTGATAATTGGACTATAGCGGATTCCGAAAGGCAACTTTTGAACTTTGAATGAAGAATGACATGGGAAGTACGAGGAAGGTTGGATTGAAGGTGAGACAATGGAGTTTTGGGGCTTAAATGCAGAAAGGATGAAGTTGTCAAGCCTGGTGGAGAAAGCCATTGATGGGTTTTCTCAGAATTGCTCTCACTCTCTCACTCTCTACGATAAAGAGATAGAAGACACTGACACTGACACTGTGTGATGACTGAAGTGATGAGGTAGTGATGACCAGTGGCAGTGACTCTCTCTGTCTATAATGGAATCCGTGGAAACACATACATAGGTGCCACATGCAAGTAGAAGTAGGACACTTATCTTGAGTTTCAAACTCTGCTGCAACTAGGGACGCTTATCTTTAATTTCAAAACTAAGACACGACTAGGGACACTTATCTTGAGTCATGTGACTGTGAAGTGCTTTTTTCTCCCTTTTTCAAACTTTCGCATGATCTTTTTTTCGTATAAGGTTAACGTCGGAGGTTTGGAGAAGCAACGGTTGAGAATTAAGATCCCTTCTTGATTCTTGTAAAGTGGAAAATAGTTTCATTGACTCTCTTTTTTTATTGTTATTTATCTCTTTCAAAGAATTTAAAATGATGTTTATCAAATCGCAATTCAAATAATGATTATTAAATTAATTTTTGAATCGTGAGTTTTCATGAATTTTTTTTATTGGCATTTGGCATTGCTTTCAAGGAATTGAAATGATGTTTATCAAATCGCAATTCAAATACTGATATATTAAATTAAATTTTGAATCGTAAGCTTTTTTTATTGTTATTGCTTTCAAAGAATTAACATTCTACTTTATTAATATATGTATTTTTTTTAAAAGAAATACATATATTAATAACTTAAAACATATTGGTATTTATGGCAGTCAAAGCTGAAAGTTACCTCGGTTTACCACAAAGAATTTTGCATGTTCAATTCACCAACCTTTTGGTAGTTTACCTAGGTGGATATGACAATGTGCTTTCCTTCGTCTTTATTCAAAAACATTCGTGAAGAAAGAAAAAGAAGCCCATTTTACCAAAATTTAAGGTAATGTCATTAATGCGAATTTCTCTGCATCCAAAAGCATGAAGTCCAAAGTGCACTTTTTAAACTGCATTTAACAAGTCCTGCTGATTGTCTTAGTTGTCCTGCTTCTGTGATTTGGTCGAATAAAACCCATCGAGGGCCTGACAGTAGATTTTGTAACATGGTATTTTGATGAAAATCTCAACATTTGGATAATATTTTTATCAAAAAGTGGCATTTTAGTCTTTATCCCTAATGAACAAAGGCCATTTTATCCCCGACCAAAATAAATTAAATAAATAAAACAAAGCATAAATTTAACACATCTGTTAATTTTCAGCATTCCAAATTTCTAACATAAATCTGCCAGAGTTTTCATCCTTTCCCAAGTAACTAGAAGTGCCTATCTCATACATCCTTTCCCAAGTAACTTTCGTATAACTCAAGTCACATCGCCAGCTCTCTATCCAATCCATGCGATCCTCTTCTATTGTCTACACGAAACTGAAGGCAAATAGAACGCCTTGAATTTAACTATATTATTCCCTCAGTAGACAAAATAGTTTGAGACAAAAAGACGATCCCCTGAAACTCTGGATCTAGTAATTGGAGCTCATTCCTTTTCAATTTGGACCACAGCAGTTCATTACTGCGGAGTAAAAGAACCATTAGCCCAAAGCCACAAGTAACTCTTATCTTTCTGCTGACGATATTGTAGAATTTGTGTCTGTTGCTTCTTTCTCTAATTCGTTGTTCAGAGTATTTAAAATATCATTTGGTGGACATTTGTCTGCAGGGTTCCTTGCAGATGTTTGGCAGAAGCATTCAGGCCAAGAATTAGTATAGAAAGACTCTGGAGACACACGCTTATGAGGCTCACCAAAATTTGTTTTAAGCATGACTTTCCTAATAGCTTCCTCAAAACCAGTCATCCGCCCATTCTCCCTATCAATGAAGATAGGGGCAAGAGCTTTCCTATCAGGTCTGATTGTAGTCCGGAAACCATAATAAAGGCGATGTCCAAGGAGGTTATTTGCAAAGTTGCTTGGGCCATCATATGTTGGCATGAAAATGTCAGAAAGAAGACAGACCATGTAGTCCACAGCAGAACCTGCCAATCCCCTAGTGTTCTCGACAAGCTCTTCAGAGTGTTCCACAGAAGTATGATTCTCGAGTCGGGGGAACAAACTTCGAAATGGCATCATAAATCGATCCCCACCAAACAATTCACCAGCTGCTAGGTATATCCTGGTAGAATTGTCAAAACCCAATGCACGCAAAATAAGACCAACCTGCTATGAGAAACACATCAATGCACATCCAATTGAAACATTGGTATCATAATCTTCAACAAATTTGAAATTTGTAATCACCAGCATGCATGTAAAGGTTAGTCCATTACCAGACCCTGAGAAACAAATTAAAAAACAATCACAGCATAACTAATTTTTACCTCCTCAGGAGTCAATGGGCATTTTCCAATGGCCCTTCTTTCATTATAGACAAGTCTTTTAGGGGCAAAATTTTCTTCTCGATATTTCTTCAATATCTTTTGCTCCTCAGGAGTAAATATATCAAAACATCTACAATCACATTCATATTGAACATGAGAAATTTAGAAAAATAAGCATTGCCATGTTTTTAAAAAAAGAAAAAAGAAAAAAAAAAGATATTTTTATCTACCAATAAAACAGATTCTACTCTTGGATCAGCACTTGTAGTACATGCCCATACAAAATTTTTCAAACACTCAAGATATAACAGGAAGATATCCCTGGTGCGTATCTTAGAATTTAATAAACTACCCAAATTATTAATTATGCAGCACAGTAAAAGTTACATCAGGAAGAGCATTCAGTTTCTTGAACAAATAGATGCGATGCACCACACATCATCAACTGCAACAGACTTAAAACCTTCCAGCTGAAGTTTGTTTTTAAAGCCCATGTCAATCCATTAGATCACATGTATATCAAAATCAAGAAAGTGATCCAATAGGAGCTATATTTTTTAGGCTGGGCAGTGTTTTAGTTGAAATAGGGTGATGAGTATTGCCTTTGGGATGATGAATCAGGTCAATCCTTCCACAAAACTTAATCTAGGTTCTTTTATGCGCTCTTTTCCTTCTCGCTCAATATTCTGAACTAATTCTTCTTCAAGCTTTGCTCTCTAATCATTGGTCTCTCACCATTGAAGCATGAAAATCTCAGTTCTTCTAGTGCTTGTTGAAGCTTTAAGGTCCTCAATCTTTTGTTTTGATTCTGCTCAAGCTCTGTTCTCAGCTAAAGCAACTACTGCACTCCGTTTTAACTCCTGTTATTTCTGATTTTATTTTATTATTTCTCTAATAGTATCATCTGTTGTGGGAACTGGTGGGTCTGCTGATATGAAAAGGAAAAAAAGCTGGTGGAAAAAAAAGTGATGGGAGATGGTAGCATTACTATGAAGTTAATGAAAACACTAGAACAATAAAGTGAAAATATTGTCAGAAAGTACTCAGCGGGTGCTAATCGTTTAAAACATCACTTAGCTGGTACTAGAAAAATGTAGAGCCCTGTTTGGCGTGACAGAAGAGGTTAAGAAGAAAATATTGGATATTGTTTCAAACAGTGGAAAACACACAAAAAAATAAAAGGAATAATTAATACCGTGATCCTGTAGAGATACGAGAAAACACCAAAATGCAAAAGGTTTCTCTTCAATCTATTATTTAAAAAAACACAAACACACACACCCTGGTGATTTTATAATTTTCAGCACCAAGTTATGCCATTTTCACCTGGGAACCTATATTAATCGAAATCAATAGAAAGACTTTGCTGTAGGTAGCTATTAGAGACCTTTAGAAACAATAAAAAGGAATAAATATAGGTCCCTTCAATCTATGATTTAAAACAAAAAATCACCCCGGTGATTTTATAATTTTCAGCACCCAGTCCACCATTAACCACGTTTTATGAGGCTGCAATGGTAAATATAAATATATATATATATATATATATATATATATAATTTGTCACATAATAAATATGCCATTTTCACCTGGGATCCAACATTAATTGAAATCAATAGAAAGACTTTGGAGTAGATATTATAGACCTTTAGAAACAATAAAAGGAATCAATATAGGTCCCCATATGGATTGAAAATCCCACACTTTTGATCTATGCTTTCTGACAAAACTTGGCATGAACATTCATTGCATTACATTAAATCAAAAGGAAAATATCCATTTAACCCTTGATAGTGTAGGACATAAAATACTAACAAAGCAATGTCTATAACTCAATTGATGTGAACAAATATGCAAACACAATTGTCCAATGCAACCCAGATAACTTACCCAGCAAATGCCAACATATCCATCTCAAACCGAAGATGTATAGACATGAAGGGACCTTTTGCACGTAGCTTATCCACTATTGATTGACTTAGCTTCATGATATGTGGCTTGAATCTTAAAGCATGATAATTAACTCTACACCTCAACCTTTGGTACTCAGGATTGTCAATTTCTTCGGCTAATCGATGTGAAAAGGGAGTAAGATAGATGGCACCATGTTCCTTCATTTTCTTGAGAGCATCATTAGTATACCAACTTATAGGAGCATCTCTAGGGGGTCGAAGCTGTGTCAAAATAACATATGAACTTATTATCCAGGAAATTGAAATAGTTTCAAACTACTCATCAATTACCAAATTATTGTAGTCTACCTGAAATGCCTTTATTTTCTTCTTTTTGCCGTTTTTTTTATTTTCTGGAATGCTTTCAACAATCTTTACATCATACCTCAGTGTATTAATGAAGTGCTCAACATCATAGATTCCATGGAAACCACTGCATGTTAATAAAAAAAAAGAAGTCATAGGACCTATTGTGTAGTGTGACGCTGGTTCATGACAAATTAACAAGCCATTAAACCAGCATCTACACTATCATAGAAAGGGGATTCCCCATTTGGTGTCTTCCTACTTTTCCAAAAAGTCCAATATATATTGTGAAAGCCCACCACTTACAACTACTCCTAGTTTTAAGGTACTTCTTAAAAAAAAAATTAGATATATAAGGCAGCTTAAAGCTAGTATGTAGATTTGAAAAAGCAAATTGTCATACCATAAAATTGAATTTTCTCTTTATGCAAGTATCACGGGTGCCCCTTCTCTTAAATCAGAATAAGATTTTAACTACCAAAATACAAACAATTAAATTTAAGAAATTTAGTCTGAAATTTAAGTGAACCAAGCTTTACGTGGATTTTGGATGCTAAAACTAGATGCAATTCATTTCTATGCTTCTATCAAAGAAGTATAAAGGGATTTAATAAACATCCAACTTAATAATCCATCGGATAAATGAGCAAGCATTTAATGCTAGTTTATAGAAAAGTACAAGATTATTAAACCTTGGCTAACAGCATGAAAAGGTATATACCTAAGGAAATGCACATACACAAAAAAGGGAGAAAAACAATGGCAACCACATCAATTCGTTTCAAAGAAAAATGGACTGAAGCAGTTCTTAACTTCTAATAAGATGAGGAAAAAGGGAATTACTTTAGCAAATAGCAATTGTTCTCGCTGATAATTAATAATCACATGCAAATTGAACAACCAACCACTTTTTTTTCTTCTTCCCAATAAAAAAAAAAAATCCAAATCCAGAATTTGAAGAATCGATGCAGTGACTCAGAAGTCAGTTAAGAATTAAATTTAAAGACAGTTACCTGTCATCATGCCAAAAGGAGTTTGCATCCAACTCAGGTAGCACTAGTGTAGCATTCATGATTCGTGCAGCAAGAACAGCATTAGAGATCTACAGCATTGAAATGCAAATGTATCAACATATACAGAATAGCACCATAAATATAGGAAGCCCCATCCTAATAACAGCACTAACTTCATTCAGCTTTATGAGAAGACATAATGCAAATACTTTACAGTCTGAGTGAATGCGCTAAACCAAAAAACAGAAAATAAAAACCCCTCTAATCATGCTACAGTTTACAGTGAGAGGGAAAAGGTACAAACTGCACTGCGCTGCTGATTTAGACCACCATTACATCGAACACGCAAATAGCCATTGCTTTCGATCGGAGGAGCTGCCAAAAACACATCAATCAACATCAAATTTCAGCATACAGCATTAGAAAGTAATAGAACATCTGTATTCATATTCAAATGAAAATTCTTGGATCAGAAATAGTATGTAACTACAAGAACAGATAGATACGGGGCCAATGAGTTCGGGGAGCGGATGATGGCCGCCAACCACCGGAATCAGCATTGCTCCAAAGTTCTTCTAAACGAATCTGTTTAACCACATGAAATGCAGATATCATATCACAAAAATGTGCAAGAAGATTCCGAACTGAAATTGCTTCGATTTGCTAACATTGATTTCAGCAACCACCGAATCTGAACTAAACAATTAGAACGAACCTCGGTGCGATAATTGGATTGAACATTTGCAGTTCCTGTTGACGAGTAGAACAAGGAGAGCGTGCAGATCAAGAGCACCACAGCAGCAATCGACAACTTCACAATCATCCCCTTGAATCCTGACCCTCCTCCGTGCCTACCATGCGGCCTATGAAATCCAGCTCTGCAACCAACAACATAGTAAACATTGGAAAATCGAAATCGAAATTAAAACCAAAATCAAGCTCAAATCGTTATCGTCCCCTACCTTCTCATGGTTAAGATTCAATAGCTCTGTTCTACTTCTACGGATCCACCACTTCAAGATTACACTTAAGTGATGAAGTAGGGAACAGTGATTGCGGCCAAAAGTAAGGGAAATGAACGCCGTTCCGGCGATCTGCGACTTGGCGGTCGACGGTGGAGAAGTGGCGGTGAACGGCACTGGAAGAAAGGAAGTGAAGCCAAGTAATAAGAAATAAAAATAGAAAATGGCTTGGACCAAGGGATTTGAGACAGATTGTGGGCTTCTGGTTGGGCTTAGAGAATGGGCTACGGAGATTAAATAAAGGGGACTATTGGGTTAAAATTTTGGGCTTCAACTAGGTCATGGGGCAAAGTGCAAAAAAGGATAGAATTTGACGAAAAGGATATGATTGGACCCCTAGGGTGTTTGGATATATGTTTGAATATCACCGGAGAAGGAAAGAGAATTGTATTATAAAATGTAAAAAGAAGAAGAAGAAGAATAAAAGGTTAAGCAATTATTATTTTCAATCTTTGGAAAAAGAGAGGAGATTAACATGTTAAGCAATGATTATTTTTATCTTTGTGTTTAAATCTTTTTAAAAATTTAAAGAACTTAGTGAAGAGTAAAACATGCAAATATTGTAGACTGTGATGTAAGGATTGTCGTCAGAGTCGGTTCGAATTAGTGTTTTGGTTTTTAAAACAAAAAAAATCAAAAATTGTAATTATTTTTTTTATTTTTAGAATCAATTTAAAGAACATGTTTGAGTTTGTTTTTATTTTGTAGTTTGACTTTTAACTTTCAAAATAAACTTATTTTTATAACTATTCTACAAAATAATTTTAAGGATAAAAAAAATCAGAACACAATCAAACAAACAGACCCTTAGGAGCCATTTGGTAGCAGTCTTTGCAAGAAATACCTTGGCAAATTAGAACTGGGAACTGAGGATGTCAATGTTTGGTAGAAGAGTCTCAAAAAATATGCCAGCAAAATGATATACCCAGGCAACGTGAATCATGTGAAAAAGTGAGCTGATTGCACTGTTGTTAATATTCACATCGTCAGTGGTAATTCATGGTTTACCGGGAAAAAGTGAGCTGATTGCACTTGTTGTTAATACCCACTTTGTTAATTTACACAAATTATCCTAGATCTTTTACCATACATAGATTTTGAAAACTTACTTAATTTATCCGGTAATATTTCGTTCTACCAAATAACTTTTTATCAATTTTACCAATAATTTTCTTTACCCATTATTTTCCTTATAATTGTATTTACCTGTTTAACAAAATTTTCTTTTCTACCAAACACCCTCTTAGTCTCTTCTTTTGTCAAAGTTTTCTATAAGTTGCCTATGTTTGGCTTGTATTCTTTGATTAAATGATTTCTATATATGTTATATGATGTTTATGGATGTGATCCTGCTTAGTTGACATGAGTGTTAGGGACGATTATGATTTCAGATAACGTTGCTTAGAAAGTTTATGCTTCAATCAGGAACTCCCCTCCACTGCTTCACGGTGGAAAGTGTGCTATGGTTACATCAAGCGACAACCATTGAGTCCATCAATTGACTAGATGGGAACAAAGTTTATGCTTTATTTTTATTTTTTTTATACAAGTAAAAATTGAACACATGATCTAATATAACTTATCTAAACTCCTTTGTACCAGCTCTAATTCTTTATTTTGCTGGCCAACTTGATACCAGAAAAACTATCTCGCGCTCTTTGTGAAATATTTATTGCATTGCTGGACTGAGAAAGAGTTTCCTGATTTTCTTTTTCTTTTTTAAAAAACTAAAAATGTTCCCATCTTTTTCTTTTTTAAAAAACTAAAAATGTTCCCATCATCTGATGATCCATATGTGGCTAGTAGAGCAGACACGTTAAAATGAAAAGGAGACAATGAATCCCTATCCACCCACCACGTTAAAACAAAAAATGTTTCTTTTTTAGACTTTGTTTCCGAGTTTGAAAAGGTAGAAAATTCAAAGGAGAGGAATAGAAGAAAGAAAAGAAAAATAAATAATATTTTTTTCCTTTGTTTGAGAATTAAAATCCCTTAGATTAGGAAAACTTTAATATTAAGAACAAGAAATAGTTTTGAAGTGTTTTGTGAAAATCCTCAAATTTTTCCCTTCATTTTGTTAAACTCACAAAAAAAGGAAAGAATTAATAAAATCCTTTTCTTCTTTTGTTTTCTCTCCTAAAATTAGCTTCCGAACAAGCCCTTAAGGGAAATTTTAATTTTTTTTACTTATTGCATTTTTAAATTAATTTATGGGGAATATTACACTTATATTACAAAACTCTTTCATACACAAAGGTGGATGTCATTTTATATATTTTTTCTCTCTTCTCTCCTCTAATTTGTGAATGCATAAGAGAATTTTTCTTTCATGTAATATGATAGTAATATTCCACTTAATTTATTTTAAAAATCATTAATTATCTTTGCAATTTTTTAACACAATTTTTTTTTGAAAAAAGAATATTCATTGAAAATGATTTATACTTAAATCATTAATTATCTTGCGTGACTCAATCGGATTAGTCGATTAATTGATAAACCGATGGAGAAATCTTCAAAAGGAAATAAATAATAAAAAATGAAAGGGGATACTTTTTTATTTAATTAAATATGTTTAAGTGTGGAAAAGAAATAAAATGTGAATTACCTTTCTATTTAATTTTAAACAAAGCATTTTGAGAAAAAGAAAAGAGGGTGTTTTTCCACTTATTACAAACTTTTAAATTTAGAGGGAAATAGACCACGAATTTTTATAAAATTTAACTCAGAAATCACACTCTTTTATTGAGGTAAGTAATAGGAAATTATAGATTACCAAAAAAAAGTAATAGAAAAATAAAAAATTACTATAAACAATACATCAAAATTATATATTAAATCAATATAAGTCTAATTAAATTCATAAAGTAAAGTTCGATTCAGTTTTTTTTGTCGAACTGAATTGAACTGGTTTATTTTACTGCACCAGTTCAAAATTAGTTTTTGAATTAATTGTTAACCCAAATAAAAACTACAAAAATATTAAGAGAAAAAAGATAAAAGTATAAAAAAAATTAAAAATTTAAAAGAAAAATAAAATAAAGTAAAATAAGATTAATCAAGATAAATAAAAGAAATAATATAAGAGAAAAAAAAGTAAAAGTAAAAATTAAAGAAATAAAGAAAATGAAATAAGAGAAAAAAAAATAAAGAAAGAAAGAAAATCAATTCGGTTCATAAATTTTTTTTTAACAATCTAATCTTTTAAGTGTGGTAAAATTCAATTCACAATATTTTTTTTAATATAATTGTGGCAATGAGATTATAAACCTATGAACTCATATAAATTATTCAAATTCTTTATCATTAGATCAATCCCAATAATTATCTTTTGATTTTTTTTTCACTCTCCTACGTAATACCATTAACATATAAAGTTAAATAAGACCACACCAAAAAAAAAAAAAAAAAATTAAATAAGACATAAAATCTTCTAAACGATTTATATTTAGTATTTATCCAACCTGCATGTGGGATGACCATTTTTTATGCCGGAACTTCTCGAAAACAGCAAAACTAACATTACATCAAGGTTTTTGGATTCAGCAATGCTCTTGGTAGGTAAGTCTTTTTTTTTAAATACAAATCTTATCACAAAACACTATTGACAAATCATATTTGGAGAAAAAAAAAAAAAACTAATAAAAGTATAAAACACAGCATAAACTTTTCGGTGAGCAGTGACAATGTAACGTGACCAGATTCACGTCATTTACAGGAAAAGTTCCAAATCCACAGCACTGTGGGGTGGGACCATGGAGGAACGTGTCAAGACTCAAATGGATCGAAGTCTTTTTCATGCGACACAAACTAATGGTTAACTAGGTTACAAAGTGAAAGAGCCACTGGGGTTCTGAAACGTGCCAGTTAAGTGGAAGAGGACCCAGAAGATAATAACCTCCTAGGTCCAACATCTAGGGTGAAATACTATATAAACTTTCATAAAGGGAAAAGTTGAAAATTTGAAATTGATTGAGTTGACTCACTGTTAGGTCTCGTTTGATACGCGAGATTTTTGGAAATTTTTGAGAAATTAAATTTTTTTAAATTTTTAATTTTCAGATATTATTATAAAATGGATATAAAAATTATATTTTTGAAAAATTGAGATTCCAGATAAAAAAAATTTCTCCTCTGTAAAACGTGCTTTAAGTGAAATGGAAATCCACAACAACGAACGTGGACTAACCGCAATCACAGGTAACTAGTTAATGGGAAACATAGCCTCGGCATCTCAATGGCTATGATGATAAAAAAAACAAAGCTTATGCTAAATATTCTATGTACACTGCCCGACACGTATATCGAGGTCGTCTCATCATTAATTATCTTCATAGCTAGTATAATTACTTGACGTTGCCTTCACAACTACCATTGAGCTCTCTCGTCACCATCTCCTCACTCTCTAAGGGATGTTTGGTACGAGAGAAAAAAAAGTTATCTAGGAATCACGATTATTAGAAATATGATGAAAAAATGAATTCTGAAAATGTTAACAAAAAATTATTTAGTTGACCAAAATATTAAGTAAAAATTACTGAGTCTATGTTTGATTAATTGAGAAAAATTTCTGGGAATACAAGATTATTTTACAAAAATAATCCCTCAATATTCTTACCGAAGCACGATTTACATTGATATGGGTTGCTTGGATCTGCATTTGGGTTTGAGAAAGGGTTGAAGTTTGATGATTTTGAGAGGAAGTAATTATGACCCATATGAAGAATCAGCACTAGTTTAAACAAATTTCGAACAACGGCAAGTCAAGGAGAAGGGTTTCTTTTGGGGAGTACAAGCGAGTAGTGTCATGGTCCAAGTATCTGGTTTCATCTGGGTCCAAGTTTGCTTCTGGCAGACACAGAGAGCAAGGCAACGCAAGAGGACATAACCTTACTGAAAACCAAGCAAAGCGTAAATCGACTTGTTTCACAGACAGCAGCAAGGACTACAGGGCATTTTCGTCTCACAAATTTGTTTCAATTTTCCCTTGGTGTGAGATTTGTAAAATACCACACTATAATTGGTAATCTGAAATAAGAAATTTGTGTGTAAATGAGAATACAGGGAAAGAGAGATGTCAAGGAAAATTTTTGATGACCTTGTACC